ATCACTACTAAACACCTAATGAATCCCCAAAAAATCTCTCGATAAACGATCAACAACACTAAGAAAAGAAGAAAAGAGAAAAATAAAAACTCGGAATCGATATCGACATCAAGATCGCGATCAAGATTGAAAGGAAATATATGCATATAATATATGAGTACCCATCACCACCAACTCACTAGAGCTTTAGATAATAGATACTACTCCATTCATCTCCCACCATCTACACAAGAAAAGAGCAATTACCCTTCAAATTTCGCCCCCATAATAACTCCTATCATAATTTTCACATCAAGAAACAATAACCCTCTCCGATCAAATTTTCCCTACCCATTTCTTTCCGTACCAAGACGCGATTTTCATATCAAGTTAACACATATACAGTACATTATACCAATTAACCCAATCCATCAAATTCCACTCACCACACAAAAAAATCTTCGCAATAATAAACTTCATTAATGATAAAATCCTACTACATTACAACAGATATTCGTTCACCTCCTTTTTGATCACTCTTTTCTCCTCCCATTCCCATCCCAATCATACCACTGCTGCCAATATTTATATTTAGTCCGCATATGTACTGTACAAACCCAAGCAACTCAAAACTCAAAACCCAAAACCAAAGACAAAAACGGTTATTAAGTAAGCCATATTGCTTTACCTTCCTGAGCGCACCAATATCATAAGATCATCTCAGTTTTCAAATACCGTATTAACATGGAAAGAAAGGAAGACAAAAAAAAAGAAAGAAAGGACCTTATTACAAAATCCCATATCCTACTCTCGATCATCAAAAACTCCGCACCGATGTCCAAGAGCCCCACCCGAAATTATATAAATATTAATACAACTCTCGGTCTAGATCTCCTCATGAAATCTGGGAGCTCTACCCGGACTAGTACTGGCTGCTCCATGAGATGAGAATGGTCTAGGCGGCGCTAGCTCGTCATCAAAGTTATCCATTGCCTCCTGAAAATCATCATCATCATCATCATCATCGTCTCCACTTGACTCGTCTTCTCCGCCCTTTGCTTTGTCACTGAATTCGCTAAGGCTACTCACATCATCTCCTTCTCTTATTTTACTTCTGCCTACTCTTTCGAATTCTTCTGGTTGTTGAGTAGGAGTAACAGTGGGGTTGATTCCGGGGACAAGAGCGGTAGCATTTGCAACGTCCCTTATACTTTGTCGACTAAGGGATGTCGTACTATTGTTGATACTTGCACCTGTGTAGGTATGACCACCCACAAATCCTTTCTCGTCTTTATTAGCGTTAGAATCTGAGAAGGATTTCGAGTGACGACCAGATATCCTTCCCATTTTAGACTTGAGCCAATTCTTCACCTTAGAGCCACTCTCAGAGGTTGGTGATGGGTTATTAGGTGAAATTTGTTGACTAATGTGTGCATCATCTGTAGCTCCAGAAACATGAGTACTATTTACGTCTATGGAAGTACGAATGGGTACTGGAGCTGGAGCCGTAGTGGGACGTTCAGATTCGCCAGGTACGGAGGTGGGTGAAGTTTTTGAAACTGGAGCACCTGGTTCGGATTTGGTGGTTGATTTACGACGTTCCTTCAGAGCAGCCTTCTCATCGGCTCTACGCTCCTTCTCTTCGTCTTTTTCTTGTTCTATATTATATATTAGTTTATAAAAATACACAGCCTTTATGAATTAGGAACAACTTACGCTTCAATTTCTTGGTGATTTCTTTCTCCTCTTTCTCTCTCATCTTAATCTCCTGCGATTTCCTCTTTCGAGTCTCTTCCTCAACTTTCAACTCAGCTTCTCGAAACCTCTTAGCCTCTGCCTTTGTGCTGATTTCATCCAATTGTGGCTGGATGATTTTAGCGGCGGCAGCATCAATCACACTCTGATCGACAAATTTTCCGCCACCGATATCGACTTTACCGAAATTCTCCATTCTGGCTTTACTCTGCGCCTGAGCAGCTTCGTGTGCTTTCAACTCCCATTCGGTGAGGAGAGATGGTGCAACCTTACCAGTATTTTTAAATACTTGTTTATCCATCTCGTGAATATCTTTATTGACATTACGCTTAGCTGCAGCGTGTAAAGCATCGCGATCTCGTTGTCGCTTTTCTTCGTCTACTTTAGAGATGCTGCTTGAGAATAAATTCATCTGAGCTCGGATTTTGTCAGACTGATGGCGATCCTCATCATAACTGGAAGCCCGACGTCTTGTCCGACCTCGCTTAGATAACTTCGAAGATATACTTGGAGTAGCTCCATAATAATCTCGATATTCACGATTTCGAATATCCTCGGTTGTCATTCTCGCCACCGACTCATTGGTGAGCTGCTGTGCTCTTGCTTGAAGATTATCAAAACGCATCGGTGTCGGTTCATCATCGCTATCCATAGAAAGTCTCCGCCGGCCGTGTGCTGCAGCTGCACCAGATTGCGCATTGGAAGTAGCAGGGTTTTGTTTCTGCTGTTGATTGTACATTTTTTTGGCCATGGCAATTGCTGAGGCTTTAAGAACATCTTCACGATTTTGGTCTTTGGGCAGCTCCGGCTCAAATTGGTCGACAGGCGGCTGAGACGTATACATTTCTCGCGGCATTGTTGTGAATGGCACCGATCCAACACTCTTTTCGAAGGTATTAGATTTTCGAACAGTGTTGGATCTATGAACAGCAACTGCAGCTTTCATGGCATTACTGGTCGTACTTGTTTGGCCAGGTTGAGTAGCTTTTCCAGCACCAATCTGAGATTTATGAACAGATTTTGCAGCTCTCAGAGCATTGCTTGCAGCATTAGCTTCATCCGGATAGGTTTCGGCAGAATAGGTAGGTTTTCCTGTATTATTCTGAGATTTATGAACAGACTTCGCGGCTTTCAAAGCATTACTGGCGGCATTGGCTTCGTCAGGGTAGGTTTCAAGTCTTTGAGTCTTCGCTGGTGTCGAATTTGCACGTTTTCTGCCGCTAGCCATAGCACCAGTCGCAGCCAAAAGGGAGCCCTGTCTTCCAAGAGCAGTGTGCCCATAATCCAACTGCGGTGATAATGTGTTTCCCTTCTTCATAGCTTGAGTGGCGGCAGTGTTTCCCCATGCTGTAGGCTCTGGTTGCCACATTTCGACACCTTCATTGGCTTTATGAGCCAACAACGCTGCTTTTGCGCCATGCGCACTTGCTTCTGGCTGCCACATAGGCTTCATTTTGTAATCCTTCGCCAAAATTGCAGCAGCAGACGCCGCAGCAGACGGATCTGGTTTCCAGTGTTCGAAAGTCTTTTGGTTCTGCCAACCTAAAGATGCTGCTGCTCCAGCTGCCGACTGACTCTTGTTCAATCCTGAGGAGGGGTAACTTGGTAAATCTCGGGGCTTTGCGTATTTGAGAGATGCTGCTGCACCTATTTGGAAAGGCTGTCAGCGATGCTATCATATCGTATGAAGTGGAATCAAATAATTACCAGCAGACGACAATTTGTTGTCGCTATCCAGAAATTCATAACCCGTTTTGGGCGTTTGATTGTTTTGATTCGTCACATAGAGAGCTGCTGTGGCAGCTTGATCTTCTAACTTATTGGAGCTTGTGCGCGTTGGGTGAGATTTGCCTTCTCTTGAGATTCCATTGGTTTCAATGCCTGTAGCTGTCGCACCGATTAGGATACATGCAGATCATGAATCAAACAATTGCTTCTACGCACCATGATTATCACTAGTCGACATGATTACACAATCTTCTTTCCCTTCTTCTTTGTTCTGCTGGTAGGTATAATTTGTTTCTAAGAATGCAAGCCGACAGAAACGATACTGAGCTTCCGTTATGACAATCAGCTCAAACAAGGACTCTAAGAAAGTGGGATAATGGAGGAAACGAATCGCAACGGGAATCAATTAATGTTGACGGATGTGTATCTTGTAACAGTCGCTTTCTTTCTGTCGTTCCTTGATGTGAAGTTGGACAACGATAGCTAGGAAACCTTGGAGCTTAGTAGTGACACATGCGGTAAACTTGGACACCTAGTATACCGACCGGTAGGTGGGATTTTGGCACAATACAATACCGGTATTGCTCTGATCGCTTTGTTCCGTGGTACTAGTCGAGTATTATAATATCGTATCTAACTGTGTATCGTCTAGGGATTTCATCATCTCTTATGATTGTTTCGATTTTCAAGATTCAGAGAGCAGGCGTAGCTGAGTTCTCTTAATCATCGATCAATCAAGCAAGCAAGAAACCAAGCTCTTCTGCAATCCCAAGAAGAGGGAATGATTGAAGGAACATGACGTAGGTTTGCGTTCAGCCACATTATAATACTCACTCGACATAATAATCAATACAAAATGCGCAGACTGTTCATCGTTAATCTTGGTTGAGGATAAGGTTGAGGTTTGCCGTCGCTGCTCCGATAATTTCATGAATTAGAGAAGAATCCATCCGAGAGAGTAGGTAGAGAGATATGTGTGTATGTATTGTATCGATGTACAACTGGGGTTATAGCTCTTGATTCACCGTATTTCCCCAGAGATGATGCAGAATGATTGTATTTCCCTCTTTTTTTAATTGAGGATCTCTTTCGTGATCTCCAGCAGGGATTTAAATTGCCAATAACTAATCAATACCAACCACACCGACGCACACAATCTTTCACGCCGTTTCCTTTTTCCTTGTTTTATCATATCGTTGTCGCTTGAAGTGATAACCTCATCTTTCTACACGACTACACGACTACATCAATCATAAGATACAACATCCATTCCGAAAACCTTACCTCTGTGAAATTCAAGAATTTTCTCCAGCAAAATCAAACATTTTGCATCATCTCCATTCCACAACTTCAACCCTTTTCTCTGTTTCCATCCAAAGGTATCGGAAGTAACGATCTGTTCAATATAACGGTACCAAACACGATACCTTCCTTCTTCTTCCAAGTCATCATCCATCCAGACCTTACCATCGACCGTAACATTGTTGTATCCCACGTCGTGCTCAACACTCTAACCTCACGATCCACCAAAGTTGACAATGGCCTCACGACCAAAAATAATGTATGATGGGCAGTTTAATAACATTCTGAATTTTCGTGATGTTGGGAAAACTATCAATGATTTCTTGGGGCGAGAGTATGTACCTACCCTCCAAAAAAAAAAAAACCATAAACAGATTGGAACTGATTTGTACCTTCAAGACTTATCAAAGAAGGTCGAATATATCGCTCTGCAAGGCCAGGTGTGTACATATTCATCAGGCTGTGGGCTCATTCATGTCATATCCAGGGAATCGGTCAATCTAGAGTGGTGAGCTCTGGCAAAGACGAATTATGTTGACGATTTACCCGGTAGACGATGCTACGATGGCAGACAGGCAGCGAATTAAAGATCATTATGGCATCAAAACCATCTTGGACCTTCGAACAGTGTAAGAGATCTAGCTAACAATTATCTGTTCCATCTAACCATAAGTATCACAGGACAGAACATGATAAGCAGGCAAAGAAACGGGTAGCAGATATGAGAGATTCTATTCTCATAGAATCAAACAGTGCACTAAATGAATCAGTGAAGATACCGGGAATCAAATATCTCGAGATCAACGTGAATGGAAAAGGGTTTGAGAGAAGTTTAGTATGGCAATTATCACCTTATAGTATCATGTAAGTTTTCACTTGTCTTGCTCGATATTGGCAGCTGACCAAAGCATATAGGAAATTGATTGGTCTGATGGGTTTGGGATATCGTTTGGAGGCCATCGGGATTCTAGGGCGACAGGTTTTGCAACCTAGAGGACTTATAGGATTGGGATACGATACGATTCATCACTGTGGTCCGGAACTTGCTTCAGTAAACCATCATCAGCCTTTTCTGAAACAACATATCTAACATATCCCAGGTTCTCAGGACTTACTGCTCTCCAGAAAATTATCCGATTCTGGCCCATTGTACGCAAGGAAAAGATCGTACTGGACTTACCATCGCCTTGATTCTATTCATCCTCGAGATACCCATAGAGGCCATATTACATGACTATCTCATGAGTGAAGAAAAATTACTCCCTGAGAGAGAATCTCGTTTAAAGGAAATCCATGAGATCGGTCTGAGTGATGATTTTGCTGGCTGTCCCGTGGATTTCATCGAGAAGATTTATAAGTATCTGGAAGACGCTTATGGTGGTATTGGAAATTATTTGACGACGATTGGTTTCACGGAGAATGAACGAACGGCTCTCGCACAAGAACTGAAGGCATAGATACGAATAGAAAAGGCTAGGCTTTTGGATCGGACCTATAGAGGAGATTAAAGAGGGTGAGTGTACACTAAAGTTAATGCTACTAATTCCAATGGCAGAAAATATATGTACGAGTATCATTTCGTACGGGCTGTACATGATTGACCGTCAAAGAATATCCGAAACCTCCGTAACCTTATATATGGAATATAAACTGTTCGATACTTGTAATCACATCTACGGTAATCAATATAATGAAACTTGTTATCATTATCTAATTCGAAACGCTCGTGTTGATATCATTAATCAAATCAGAATGAATTGTCTCGACGAGTATGTCACTCGAGTATTGGTTGATGAATGTGATGGGATATAGAATGCACACTCCTTAATCCTTTATTAGGTGGGTAACCTTAAACTTTACTTTTATCGGATGCGGCGTTTCCATAGTGGTGGCGATGTTCATCCGAATGAATAAAATTAGGTGATTTGATTTGATTTCATGTCTTTTTGTGTTGGAACTGATGTTATACTATTATCCTTGACTCTGTTATATAAGATGGCAAGTGCTGTTTTATTAATGATAGAAATCTTCAGATGAGATGAACTAGGTACTCATAGCAGGTCCCAAGCATCCAAAAAAACAATGATAAACATCAAGACGATCCATATCTAACGATTCCTCCCTCAATCCTCCCACATCACATCACTCGTCGTAAATCTCCTAATTCCTCGACGCCATCATTATCATCCCTAACTGTACGTAGTACGTACTTACCAACATACCATACAAATCAAGCCTTTCCTTCCTCTGCCCGAGAGTGGAGAAATAGCATAACCCATAACATAGTATACGTGCCGGCCCCATAACATCCCCTCCAGGATCCTGAAACAAGGAAACATTTTACGAGAAATTGAAATAAACAATACCCCAGGAAACGGATTCCAGGACTCTTTCCTCGGCGTTAATATATGTATGGGAATTTTTGGGGGACATGCTGCTAGGTGGAGAGTGTCGTGAATGATGGGATCGTCGGGTGTTTTAAGGAGTCAACAGGGCTGTGGAAGTATCCACTGGGTTGATGGTGATGTTGATGTGATGGATTAATTGGTTGTGGAGTATCTATATATGAGAAAGAGTTCTTCCCATCTTCTGGCCCAAAAACTTTTGGAAATATCTGCACAGGTTTGCATTCATTCATTTTTGAGTACTGTTTCTCTCCACCTTCATTCATTCACTGATTTATTTTTGCTCGCTTTCACATCCACACAATCTCTCTCTTTTACACATTCATCTATCAGAACTGTTGATCAACTTTCAACCATTCGTACACACTTCATCCATTTCTAAACAAAATGAAATTCACAACCACAATTGCCCTAAGCGGTCTCATCGCTTCCTCCCTCGCCGCTCCCTCCCGACCCAATCAAGCCCGCGGTCACCGCAGCCACACCCTCCAAAAAAGTCAAAAAGCAGGAGGATTTGCCCAACCTAGCGGTGGTTTCCCAGGAGGCTTTGGAGGTTTTGGAGGCCCACAAGGTGGTCGGGCGAGACCCACCGGTACCTCTTCTGGATTCGGCTCTGGATCCGAGTCTCAAGCTGCTGCATTAGCTGCTACAAAACCAACTGCTAGCGGTAACTCTGGTGCTGTAGTACCCCCAGTCATCGCAACACCTATTGCATCTAGTGCCGCTACCTCCAGTACCTCATCTGCCGCCATCAACATTGCCAATTCCTCCACAACATCCACCTCCACCTCCACCTCCAAAGCAGTCACCGTGCACCCCGACGACGAATACAACGTCTCCTGGGCCGGCGCCGTTCTCGACGACGGCGGCTCCACAATCTACACCGGCGTGTACACCGAATTCGTCGTGCCCACTCCCCAAAAACCCACGCGAGGCGAGACCTCCGCCGAAATCTGGACCGTCTCCTCCTGGGTGGGCATCGACGGGTACGAGCAAAGCAGCGAGTGTGCCGGACTCTGGCAAGCGGGAGTCGACGCCTCGATCGATCGTTCCGGGAAACGAACCTACGACGCCTGGTACGAATGGTATCCCGCGAACACTCTCGAGTTTGCGCTGCGCGTCACGGCGGGCGACACCATCGCGGTGAATCTGACCTACTCGTCGTTCACAAAGGGGAACCGTCACGATGGAGAATAAATCGACGGGGAAGTCGGAGACCAAGACCGTGACATCGACGGATCGGCTGTGTGGACAGGCGGCGGAGTGGATCATGGAGGATCTGAGTATCTGTGGGTCGACGACCGGATTGGCAAATTATGGGAATGTCACGTTTAGTAATGCGTATGCGATCACGAAGGAGGGAAAACGGGTGGGTCCTACCGGTGCGAATATCGTGGATATTAAGACGACTTCGAATGAGATCTTGACGAGTTCGTCGGTTACTGAGGATAGTGTTGTTGTGGCTTATGTTTAAGCGTGTGGATGAAGGAGTGGATGTAAGATATTGAAACAATCTTACGGTTTGGATATGGAATTGATTCTGATACGGGTAGCTCAACGCCATAATGCCAAGGATATTTATTGGTTGCAAGCCCTAACTCACAAGCTCTTTTATTCTTTGTACATATATATAAACGCTTGAATATCGAGTCTAATCTAGAACTCTGATCTATGGATACAACCCCACGTAACGCCCGCTAAAGATTCCAATGATCCTACTCCTGCATTCTGCAAACACAGTATCCTCCACACCTATATTCCAAGCCCGCCCTTCGAGTCGATATAACATAAAACATTCCAATTTCATCCCCAAGTACGAGCCCACATACTGCTAGCTAGCCCCGGCAATCTTCGCAAATCCTCATCCACACTCGTTTCTCGACTTCTTGTCGTAGGGAGAGTCTCGGTACCATCGTTTACCGATTCCCTTCTCGACAACAGCGGTCTCCTCGAATCATCTAGTGGAGACAGTGGTCTCATGGTACTTCTCCACTCTGCTCTGGGAAGTCCAAGTATCGTTCCCACGCCCATAGCGTGACCCATTGCTCTCACAATCGAATAATCACTTTCCGATTCAGTTCTACCTGGAGTGTTATTGTCTCTAGTCGTTGGCGCTGTTATTTCTGCTCTTGGCATCCCAATCACAGATCCGATACCTGCGGATACTCCTACCGCTGCAGCCACGGAGTTAGTAGTTTGTCTCTGTCTCCAAGCCGCATTTAAATTATGACGACTTGTATAATTCCAGTTGCGCCATCTAGGATTAATTGGTGGTCGAGTGAGCTGAGAATTTTGATTATTGCGAGGTCGATGTGTCAAGTCGTGTGTTGTAATATTGGCTTCATAAGTGCGACGTGTGGAATCTGGCTCAACTGCGGTAGAAGTAGGGGTAGCTGGATGACCGTGTATAGTAGTACTAGGTCTAACAGGAGGTGAACGAGCAACCTCCTGAGTGTTTTCCCCGGGTACTAAAAGCTCAGCTTCATCCAAGTGATTGTTCGAATGACCGAATCTAGCGTTCCATCTTTGTAGTTCGAATGGAGTGGTGATTGTAATAGCGTTGAGAGATATTGATCGAGCGATAGGATGACTAGGTGCCATGAGTTGCATAGCTGCTAGGGAACTCTGTGACTCGGTTGAGTGAGAACGCTGTCTTTGTTGGGCACGATGGGTCGATCGTGGTGGATCGAAGGGGAGGATAATATTACGGCACATAGGACAATTGTCCTTCTGAAGAAGCCAATGTCCCAAACAGGTATACCCAAATTTGTGATTGCAAGGCGTGACGACTATGGAACCTTTATGTCCGCCATTGAATTCCAAGGGATCGGGACAAAGATCGTTCCCATCTGCATCAACTTTGACTTCTTTGACTGCAGAAACTCGTTAGCATGATTTCTGTATGTAAAGATGAAAACTCCTCACAGCTCTCGAAACAAATGGGACAAGTCTCTCCTTCGTCTTCATAATCCCTTTCCCAGGTTTTCAAAGCAGGCACAACCCTGAAAATGCGATTCTCTTTATCAGATACCGTTTGATGACGTGTTTGCGACATAATGATTGGAGTGAGAGGCACTGGTTGTTGTGCGGAAGATTGGATATTGCCAGCCATATCTATACTCGGGAAGTGCTTTGAACTCAGATATTTTTAAATGCTGTGAGTGTAAGAATGCTGTTTTCGACTCTCTCAAACTAGTCAAAAGAATGTAAGATATTTTTGAATAAGAGTATGGCCAAAAATATCGAAATAAGAGTGTGTTATGGTTTGAGAGAAGTATGAATTCCAGAGACATGAGAGTGGTGAGGAGGGTAATCATCTGCACCTTCCGAGTTGAGATTCATGTATCATGATTGCCATTCTGCTTCAAATGTCACACTTTCCCTATCTCAATTCACACGATACTATAACCATAGCTCTTAGCCTGACATGACAGTAAAGGCATCGCAAGTAGACGAAAATAGAAGCGCACATCAGAATACAAGCTAGAAAGAGTGTTCAATCGTCGAGTTCTGATTCAGATATTGAAACACATTATCGCATTCTTGACAAAAGAACTTGGAGGACATCTAACTGTATGTTTCTAGTTTATCAAATTGTGTGCAAACAAAGTGATCTTTCCATCGATGAAAGTTGAATTTGTTCACTGAACAGCAACTCTCATTTAGAATTCGGTGTACTTGATTTTGGATTGTGGTCCATCAAATCTCCCACATGTCAGATTTGTAAAATATGAAAATATCTAGATAGTCCACTTGGAGTAACAAGATAGCTCCAACAAATGCAGAACAAATGAAGGAAACAGATGTTCTCGAAAGGCTTCAAATTTCTGACCATTCAACCAACACAGCATGTGACTTTTCCATCTCCAATCTTATTGAGCACCGTTGGATGTAAAGATATTATAAATTTTCATTAACAGCCTATAATCAACATCAATAAATTGTCTTTGCTCAAGCGAGATTACAAAATTCGAGTTGAGATTCCTCAATTGTGTGTTAGGAGAAAAGTGACCATACGGTACCAAAACCATTCCCGAAGTAATCCCATCTCATCCCATCCCATCCCCTCCCCTCCCCTCCATCTCATCCTTCCAATCTGATTTCTAATAATCGCATTTCCATTGCATCCCTCACTTGCATTCCCAATCACACATACGAAAACTCCACCACTCCCACGATAACCCAGCCGCACAACCTATAAAAAGTCTTCGAAACACAATTCACATAGACAAACATGCGGGGTAAATCGCGTGCTGCATGAGGGGTAGAGGATATGCGATGGAGATTGGTGAGATGGCTCGGGGTTAGATGATGTGATTATGATAAACGTTTTGAAACATCCGAATGAATGATAAGAGTTGATGATACAATATCTCGGTATGGATGATGTTAGATGTATTTACATCGTGCTGGGTTGAGGATTGCGGCATCCGCTGTGCATATATAATCTGGGTATCCCTTATGTGTATCAGATATTCTTGTGAAGAGTATAGGAATTGATATATCTTCTTCTTCTAGAATTTGGCATACTGCAATAAAATACTAGATAATACAAACCATGGCTCCATCAGCAGCCCAAGATCTTGCCATTCACCCGTCAGCTGCGATCAAAGATCTCGCTTCTCCTTCCAAAGCCACCTTACCTCTGCCTTCGAACGCACGAGCAAGCTTAGAAAAAGCCGGAATCGATCTCTCAGACGGGTATCCTACTCGTCCGGGTCGTCCTTTATATCGTGTGTTCTCATCCTTTATCTTCGTCCACCATGTCGAATAATGAGCCAAACTAACCTCCCCTTCCACAATAGTCCAAGACGTCCTCGCCATCCGCAATACACCACGGGAGCATTACGATGCCGGATCCCGGGCCGATAAATCGAAGAGAAACCTGTTTGATACTATCCACAAGAACCACGGAAAGATAATTGATTTAACCAAAAACATCGGAACGGAAATAAGTGGGATTCGTCTTGATGAGTTAACGGATGAGCAGAAAGATGAATTGGCATTGTTGGTTGCAGAGAGGAGTGTGGTCTTCTTGAGGGGCCAAGAAGGATTGAGTCCAAAAGTACAAAGGGATTTGGGGACTTGGTGGGGTGAAGTTGAGGTTCATGTATGTTTGTTTTATGTTCTGGATCATGGTGGTGAAAATCGAGATAGGATATGTGCTGACGATGTGATGTGTAGCCACAAGTTCCCCATGTGCCAGGACTTCCTGGTGTATCGGTGATGTGGCCTGCCTTGCAAGCCCGTGAAACTTCAAGAAAAACTGATTTCAGAAACCCAGGAGGTGCGAGTCGATGGCATTCGTAAGTTTTTCTCATTCTTCTCTCGACTCACTCGAGGCTATTGCGAGGACACATCACTGACATGAAGATAATAAAGAGATTTGGTGCACGAACTTCATCCCGCAGGAATAACCCAGCTACACAATGATACCGTTCCAGAAGTCGGAGGTGACACACTCTGGGCATCGGGATATGCAGCTTACAGTAAACTTTCTCCTGAATTCCGCACAATCATTGATGGGAGACAGGCCATATATGTGTCGGCGCATACATACCTCGATCGAGATGATCCAACTGCGGGACCAAAACATATTGAACGCGTTCATCCTATTGTGCGTGTACATCCCGTCACAGGATGGAAAACATTGTGGGTGAATAGGGCGATGACAAAATCGATCGTCGGATTTGACAAGGCGGAGAGTGATTTGATTTTGGGATATTTGTACGATGTTTATGAAAAGAATGTGGATATTCAAGTCAGATTCAGATGGACTGCTGGGACGAGCGCTATCTGGGTAAGTCTCTTCAGAGGACTTTTTAGTCTCATTCTGAATGAAGTCGATATTGAAGTTGAAGGGGGTGTAAGCGAATAGATGCTAATGATGTTGAACAGGATAACAGAAGTACAATCCATAACGCGAGCTGGGACTATGAGGGAACTGAGGAGAGACATGGGACGAGAGTTACCAGTTTGGCAGAAAAGCCTTACTATGAGGAGGGAGCAAAGTCTAGACGGGAGGCTTTAGGATTGAATGATGACTAGATTGGAATACTGATGTTTGTTAGATTTATTTGAAGCGCGAAGCGTTCCGAGCGATCTTTTGAATTAGCAGCTTCGTAGAGTGGTAGGTAGAAAGATCGTTGAACCAATGACTAGGTCGCCAGCTATCTCGAGGCTATATTGATGAATGCTTGCTAGATAAACACATTAGATAAGATGAATCCCGCGAGGCTTATCTCGTCCAGTGTCGAATTGGATGCCAGAACAACGCTACTCAAAACATAGACTCCACTTGTGGAGCTGTGATGTGATGGTTACTCTTTTCGGCACAAATACAGCGTCCGCCCGCTAAACATGACAGACAATAGCCCTGCAGTGATCATTTTTCACGGCGTAGTGCCATCAACATCTGTCATGAAAAGAATATTTGAGACCATGAAGTACTTTCCCGGTAGACCAATCATCTGACAAATATAATCTGGTATGCAAAGCAAGCAAATCCTTTGTTGATTGGACGGTGAAGAGACGAAGACGTACAGGCGGGGGGTTCGAAGGAGATATCTTAAATCCATCCGAATCGATGACATTCACCGCTTCTTGTTTGGAAGAGGATTATCAATCACGATCACTACGATTTCGAATGGTTGGTCGATCTTTTGATCTCCGAGTTAGGAAGGTAAAGAAGGAGAGAACAGAAGCTCCGGGCCGTACATATCACGTGATGATATATATATATATATATATATAACGTGATTTATCAGTGTGCGGGTCATATCAGTGTGCGGGTCATTTTCACCTCAATTCACTCTTTCAAACTCATATTATTCAACAACCATTGAATCAATTGATTAAAACTATGAAAATTATAATAATCTAGGATCTATTATATTATCTTGACAAGTTCTTGCATTATGTCCGGTCTTTCCGCATTTACTACAGCATCGACTAGAAGATGCTTCTTCATTAGAATTCCTCCCTTTTTGACGCTCGTCGCGTTGAATCTGAATATCAACCTCTTGTTGAGATAATATATCAAGAGCTTCTTGCCCAGTAAGTACTCCTCCTTGACGCAATTGGGTTTTTTTCGCACGTCGACGCTTGCTTAATGCCTCATTTGCTGCCCGAAGTGTACGGATCTCTGCACTTAAAAGTGTATTCTCATGAGCTAATCTCTCTGTGCCTTTAGCTAGAGCTAGTACAGTCTCAAATATAGGTGTAGGAGAGCTTGATTGATGACGATTGATTCGAGATTTAACTAATGTTGATTGAGAAAGAGCTTCCGTAGGATTGTAAGAAGTTTGAGAGGTCCAAAGGTCTAAATTGACAAAAGGAGAAGGACTAGATATATATATTCGAATATCTAATTTTGAGAGTACTATTTCAGGATTAAAGGGGATTAATCCTGTTCCTCGGAATCCAGATTTCATATTCTGATTCGTGATCGATCGTTGATATGCAGTTTTGAAAGCTGTAAAGAATTCGACCTTTGAGATATGATTGATATGTGCCCTTATAAACCCCTCAATTTGAGTACCATATTCTTGTTTTAACCTATTAAAACATCCGACATCAAGTGATTGAGTTAAATAACTTGAATACAGTGGTAGGCATACACATATAATATCATTCTCCTTGCAATATAATTGAAAAGGTATGGATTCATAGCTTTCGTGTCCGTCTAGCACCAACATTCGGTATTTGCCTACTCTGCAATCCTTTGTATGTTTATCGAAGTGTTTTAAACCATTCCAATCCTGTCTCATTGTTCGTCCACCCATTGCTAGTAGGTTTAATAGCCCAATCTGCAGGAAGATCGGTTTCCGTATACCAATTGGAAAGATGCACCTGTCCTTGAACCACCAGGAATGGAGGTATGATTTCCCCTACACTACTACCGCATATGATCGCTGTCGCCCATTCCCTATTGCCTGGTTGTACTGCTTTACTCCTACCACTCCTCCCAGCACTAGTAACTACCATACCAGCATTTATAACTCCCATCATAAAGCCTGTTTCGTCGAAATTCCACATATCGCAATCTTGTATACCAAATTTCGCTTGCATATTCGATATAAGACGAAACCACTTTCGAATAAACTCAGGATC